ATATATATATATATATATATATATATGTATGTATGTATGTATGTATGTATATTGGAAACTGCTAAGAAAAATAATAACCTCCACTAATTCGTGTCAGTTAATACCCCATTTCTGTTACTTGTTCCGCTCCCTCCAACTTTGGATCTCTCCATCGGTAGCGGCAGATTTGTTGATCAAGTCATCGAAGCAGGAGGAGGAGGAGAAGGAGAAGGAAGAAGGGACTATCCTTTTCATCATCGGCGGCGGCGGCGGCGGAGTAAGTGGGAGGGGAAGCGATGGCGGATGGGGTGATGAAGAAGGCACTGCTGTCGTACGCCTACGTCGCGCTGTGGATCTTCCTCAGCTTCACGGTGATCGTGTACAACAAGTACGTGCTCGACCCCAAGATGTACGCCTGGCCCTTCCCCATCAGCCTCACCATCATCCACATGTCCTTCTGCTCCGCCCTAGCCATCCTCCTCGTCCGCATCCTCCGCCTGGTGGCGCCTCCCTCGTCCCCGCCCATGACCCGCCGCCTCTACCTCTCCTCCGTCCTCCCCATCGGCGCCTTCTACTCCGTCTCCCTCTGGTTCTCCAACTCCGCCTACATCTACCTCTCCGTCTCCTTCATCCAGATGCTCAAGGCCCTCATGCCCGTTGCTGTCTACTCCATCGGCGTACTCTTCAACAAGGAGACCTTCAGGACCTCCTCCATGCTCAACATGCTCTCCATCTCCTTCGGCGTCGCCATCGCCGCCTACGGCGAGGCCCGCTTCGTTTCGACCGGCGTCGCCCTCCAGCTCGCAGCCGTCGCCTTCGAGGCCACCCGCCTCGTCTTCATCCAGATCCTCCTCACTTCCAAGGGCATCTCCCTCAACCCCATCACCTCCCTTTACTACGTCGCCCCCTGCTGCCTCGCCTTCCTCCTCGTCCCCTGGTCCCTCATCGAGCTCCCCATTCTCCGCGACCGCTTGGCCGCCTCCGCATTCCGCCCCGATCTCCTCATCTTCGGCACCAACTGCCTCTGCGCCTTCGCCCTCAACCTCGCCGTCTTCCTCCTCGTCGGCAAGACCTCCGCCCTCACCATGAACGTCGCAGGCGTTGTTAAGGACTGGCTCCTCATCGCCTTCTCCTGGTCCGTTATCCGCGACACCGTCACCAGCATCAATCTCTTCGGTTATGCCATCGCCTTCCTTGGTGTTGGCTACTACAACCACGCCAAGCTGCAGGCGCTCAAGGCCAAGGAGGCGCAGAAGAAGGCCGCCCAGGCTGATGAAGAGTCTGGGAAGCTCCTTGAGCGAGCGGCAGGCGGCAACCGGAAGAATGACTCCCAGGCTTGATCTGCCCGTGCTCTGTTCTGCTGATGGATCTCTTCATTCATTAGCTTATTCATCGCTAGTAGTACATTTCGGAAACATAGATAAGTAAGAAATCGTTCTTTTTATTGCTCTTCTTCAGTTATTCTGAGATATTGATTCAATTTTGTCACACGGGCCACACCTGGGCTATAGGAAAGGATGCTAGATTCATATTAATTGCAGTTCTGGATGCTGTTGGACAATCTGTGAATTGGATCCATCTATTTTTCTTGTGATAGAGGGATTGCCCACTGATCATGTTGGAGCCTTCTTTTGTTCTTTTACCAAATGACACTGAAAATGTTATTTAATTTGCTATCTTCTGCTATTGGCTAATCAGATGCATGCTGAACCTATTATAGATACTGCAACTTTTCCTCTGTGGTAACCTATTGAAGACCAGCGGTCATATATGTCATTGTTATGCTGACATTGTTGTTCTTAAAATGTCAGAGTCTCGATAAAGACACCAACAATTTTCGCTGGACTTGTTTTATGTGTCCTTGCCATAAAATGTCTGTGTTTTTGTTATTGTTGAATATTGTTATGAAACATGAATTTACACATCCCTTTGTTTTCATGGACTTGTTTCTTGCTTATTGCTTTTAGGTTGTTTTGGATTATATATCAATACTTTCAAGGCTCGAATTGTGATATTTATGTAGATGGAGTGTTTCTTCCACTAGGCAAGGATTGTTGAAACTAGACAAACAAGGATCAGAAGTGAACCATATTAGAACAATACTGGTCAATATTTATTTTCATGATATATTCCAGATCAGTTGGATTAGTTGTCGAATTGGGTATGAAACTTCTATTAAAACCTTGGCTTAAAAACTAAAATAGCTAGTTAAATTATGCAAAACCAAGTAAACTTAACCTGTCTTTCTCTATCAGTTCCTAAGCTATTTATTCAGGTTCTTTGGGGTAGGTAACTACCTAGCTAATCCATACCCTTGTGCAGAGTATTTTATTTGGGTTATCTTTGTTGTACTCTTTTGACCAGGTTGATTTAACTATTCTTAGTACTAGAACATTCAGCGGGTTAAACCCACGATCATCGATTAAATCCTCCTCAACCCTGATTCAGTAGTAACCTTAGTAAAGATAAAAAGTGCAAGGGTATTGTAGATGCAAAAGGATGAATTAAAACAACCTTAGTCAGCTGAATGTGTAGTAAAGTTTCATGATTCTGTAATTGTGGAAGGATGTACTAGAGTTGAAGAAGAATAGCCGTCACAACTATTTCTTTATTATGATTTGATTTAGAGATTTGGAGCATTAAATACTGAACTAAGATAGAAAGAAAGAGAGAAAAGAGCAATGTTATACCTATGGTGTACATTCATTTAGTAAAAAGATTGTTTCTCTGGAAGATTTTAGCCTGAGAGATTGTTTGGAAGTCGGAAGGGAATAAATTCTGCTCATTTGCCTGTTACTGATAGGGTACCAAGGTGTTGGCTAATTTTTTATGAATAACAAAGAGAATTATCAATTGTTGTTTGTGAGCAACATGCATGAGGATATTAAATGTGGATTAACTGAAGAATTCCTAGTTGTTCTGAATAATATTCAGTCAAATGTGTTTTTGAATTTGTTATGTGCTGATTACGTTGAGAACTATGGAAGTTGTGGTGCATGCTTGTTCTGGATGACTCGAGTGCCGTCAGAAGTGGCTTAATTTGAAGTTTTTTTAAGTTGGAATGTGAATCTAATGATTTCTTCTGATCATTCACTAGGAAGCACGAGTCCTACATGAATGCTCTCCATGATTTGATGGAAGCACTTTGAACAGGAAGTTAGAAAGCTAAACTGCCTATGCTGTTCTATCAGTCTTTTCTCTTCTGCTCTACTGGACCTGTTTGTAGATGACTGCCTGAATTAAATTTTGGATAGTAGCTTAGAAATCTTAAAAGCTTACACTGATCTCACTTTATGAGATCTGTGACAATGCCAGCACAGGCAGGAGTCCATGATCTTGTCACATGAGTGGGGGGCCAGCATGGTGATGAGACTCCATACTTCCCTTTGGGGAGCAGTGATCACCTTTCCTAGTGATGCATCCCCTGCATCCTGCATGGAGCATGGAGTGAAATGGTTGGTAGCAGGATTTCACATTGATAAAAGTTCTATTCTATAAGCAGATGGTAGGAAATTGGTGTCCTGCAATATAGATGCATGACTACTGTATTGGTCCATATTGTGTCTTGGCCACTATGAGATCTGTGATGTTGCTTGAGAATGTTGATGGACATGTTGTACTGTCTGAAGATATTATTTTAGGTTGGTAGCAGTTGACTTTTTTTGGATAGATAAAACAGCTTCCAGGTACACATTCAGACATTTGGCATGCTTCACATTAAGATCATATAACTTATGCTTCAATGTAATATTTATATATTACATGCATCAAAGTCTTGTGCTTGCTTCAATTTTAAAGCCATGAAACGCTTTCATGACATCTTATCTGCAATAGATTAGGTGAAATGACTGTTCAATTACATCTATTACTGTGCAATGGACAACTTGATATGCATTTATGTTTGGATTGATATAATGTTTATATTTCTACAGGAACTTGTATACTGAATTGGAAGTTTTGATGTGAATTGACTTGGCTCAATTTTATTGTTTAAGGGTAAGAAAACCAACCTCAATTATAAAATGAAGTAAATAAACAACAATGCAAGCATGGTGAGTGGAATTATATTATCTTAGTCAGCTCTTTGGATATAAATGGTCAATTCAATTGATAACATTTATAAGAAAACCAAACCATGCAAGTAGAAACTTGATGAAATATTTTAGTATAGTTTATAGCTGAGATTAGGAAAATTATATTGTAGCTCAGTATAAATCATCTTTTATATTATTTTATTTTTAATAAAGATATAGGTTGAATGTGCACAGTAGAATCAATTTAGCAATTCAACTATTTTACTTCACTGATTGAGAGGTGCAGATGGAAATGAAGACCATGACAATACCAAGGTATGGCCTATTCTACTTCCTTGGAGTTAAAAGCACAGAGATGGGATTCAAGCCCAAAAATTATGCATTGTCTCTAAATGTCAGGCATAAGAGAAACAGAGTGGCAACAACTAGTCATAATCTAAGCCACAGTTAGCACAAATCTATAAAAATACAAGAAATATAAGATCATTCTGGCCATGTTATGTAGAAATCTGCTATTACATGAAATCATACACCTGTATGTTTCTTGTGTTCCCTTGCAACAACTAGTCAGAAGATTCTGTTGCATGGGCATGAAATTATACAGTTCTCTGCATGCAAAGTTCATAGTAAAAATACCCACAAATCTATCATCATAAACTAGATGACATCTTGTAAATGCAAAAAACCAACATCCACAATTTTGGTCTTGGTAACTCGACAATTCCGCAGCAAAGCATTGCGTAAATTGAGTACTCACTGGTTTCAAACAGCTCATTTTCTGTGGTAATCGATCCTGGATATGATTCTCATGAAATATATACATGCAAAAATTCTGATAAACTTACAACCCATACAGATCCAGTAAATTGAGTACTCACTGGTTTCAAACAGCTCACTTTCTGTGGTAATCGATCCTGGATATGGTTCTCATGAAATATATACATGCAAAAATTCTGATAAACTTACAACCCATACAGATCCAGTGAGTACCGGCACGATATGCATTTCACTGTATATGATCGATAAAACAAATTCATCAATCTCCTATAAATACTTATAGAAAACATCAAAATCAAGCCTTTATTGATGTTCATTCCGACACAGGAGACTAGGCAGATGAAACAGCGTAAAAAACCGTTTATCATCCAGCAAGCCAAATAAAATGGAGTTCTACAAGTCTTCAACATTAGGAAGAAATCAGCTCAAGGGATTTTATCATTTTTGGATATTCCATAATGATTTATTACAATCCATCACTGCGTTTCAAAAGATTAAAGGTCAATACATATGAAGCAAAAATCGAACTCTTTGGCAACATTTAGTACATGACATGACTCATCAAAAGCAGCACAAAAAAAAAAAGTGTATTTATGTACATCCTCCAGAAGACGAGATTTCTTTTTATTGCTCTTAAGCTGTGTTGCTTTGCCATCCGCTAAAAGGAAGAAACAAAAAACAAAATTGCATAAAAGGAGCCACCGCAGGTCTTCACTGAAGAATCATCTTAAGGGCTCCTACCAATTTGGATACTCGGCAACAGATTATTATAAAACCATCTCCATAGTTCAAAAGAGTAAAAATACTTGCAAAATACATATGAAGCAAAGATCATTTCTACCTCTGCATTAAGCACCCGACACAAAACTAGTAAAAGCAGCAAAAACATCTCTTTGGATATGATTATTATGTGCATATTCAACATTTCTTATTATGTACATACTGGATTTCCACCCATGCTGAATTTGTTCTAAGCTTTTTTGTCATCCATAAAACATTATTCTTACAAAACGTATGTCGTTTCTGCCTGCATGTAAGTATCATAAATTGCTCAGCTGGCCTGTTTGCCTGCAACATAGCAAGTTTTAAGGACTCAGAAACATATAAGAGAACCGTCGATCAAACCTTTCACTCTGTTTGGGAAGCAGATGAGATCAAACTTCCTACAACATTCATTGAGTTCACAGCTTCGGCGATCTCCGGCTTCTGCCTCATTATAATATCCCCACTCGGATTGATCTGACAATTTGTAATTGCAGGCACATGACTCCCTTCCCAATCGATCGCTGCAAGGTTTTGGCTGATGCATTGACCATCAGCATCACACTGTAAGCAACCAGGTCTGCACTGATTCTGAAACGGGAAGCCACCCAATTCAGCATCAATCTTCCCTCTGAAGTCCACCAGCAGGTTTCTTAGTCTGATCACCTCTGCTTCGAGCGCTGCTTGACCCTGCAATCTTCTCAGAAGCTGCTGATTCACAAGGCGCAGTTTCTTGACTTCCTCTTCCAGGAAGGCTGCATGGGCCTTCTTCTTTTCTCGATACTTCCTCACAGCCTCTTTGTTCCCGAGAGGTTTCCGATACCTTTTTGGCTCCTCTTCTCCGACGCTTTCCCCCTCGCCTGCCGCAAACACTTGAGTATGAGTGTGGTAGCATGTGTGGGTGTGGGTGGCAGCGGCCGGCCCTGGAAGGTTACATGTATGGGTGTGGGTGCATGTGCTGGTGCTTCTCAAGAACTCATCGAAGCTCTGGTTTATCTCAGGATCCGAAACAAGCAGGTGGCTCGACAGGTCTACGTCTCCATCATCCATGCTTCTTGCAACCAAACAATGAACCACAGCACAGCACCCAGTATCAATCTCAACAACTTCTCAGTTCTATCTATGGATCAATTAAGCATTCTTTGTGCAGTACAACGTCAGACAGAGACAGAGCTTGAAAGAGGACCAACCGAGAGAACCGAACTCCTCCTCCTAAAACAGAGACAATGAGCTCGAACCGGAAGCCAAGAATAACTCAAGAAGAACAAAGACGGCGTTCTTATTCCTACTGCGAAATCATCAGGTTTGGAAATTGAAGAAGAGCTTGATCAGCACACACACCGTCTATTTCAGAATCCGAACATGAAAGACATGCAAAAGAAATAAACAGCAGAATTTGCGGGCGGGGATCGTAAGAGCATACGTTCTCAACGATAGAACCCTAAGTCCAGCACACTATTCCCGTACCAGCAATATGAAACCAAAGATTGGATCTTTTATGCAAGATTGGAGCAATACTGATCCAAGGAGTGGAAACAAAGCATCAAAACGAGACCTTGACGCCGGTAACCCAAAGGTCGCCTCAGAGTCGGAGGGGGGCATCAGAGCTTGAAAAAGCGGGACGGCAGATCAGTGGTCAAGTCTAGCAAAAAGGAGGGGCTTCTCGCCCTATCTTCTCAGCTCTTTCTGGGGAGCAGAATCTGCCAAAGGAAGGGCGAGAGACAGTTGATTTGATGGGAGCAGAACACCAAAAAGCGATCGAGGAGAAGCCGCCCTTTTTCCCCCACAAATTGCTTCAATAAGCTTATCTTTCGTGCAGCAAAGATCTTTCTTTTCCAATACTTCTCGATCCAAAATGCAACCACGAACAAAATGCAGAAACGAACTCGAGTCTTTGACTTCTTCTCATGAGATTGGGTTCCCCGTGTAGAAATTTCCGCTTGGACGGAGCAAAAATTGTCAACCCTCCTGCAGTTGCTCTGCGGAGAACATCATACGACACCTGTAAAGAAGAGCATTAAAAGACGACTCCGGATGCCAAATGGTGAATACGATGTTGCGTTGAGATCCCCATCACTCAGAGAGCTACGAAATCCAAGGATGACATTAAAAATGGCTTGATCGGTAGATCATGCAGCTCCCATCGTTGCGTAATGCTCGTCTCAGCAGGTACGCAAGGCGGGGTCCGGTTCAATTTTGATGATTGGACCGGACTTCTAATCGGACCGGGCCAAGACAAATCGACTGCGGCCCGTTTTTGGCCGACTTTTGGATCTCTTTTCGTACAGATATAGATTTTTTGGATCTCTTTTTAGATAGATTGATCCACTTGGCAGTTGAGGCAAAATCCTATCTTTAAATGGCAGTTGAGGCAAAATCCCATCTTTAATTGTCTCGGTGATGCAGTTTAGATTCGGCAAATCTATTGTGTTCATCTTTAAGATGGATTGGAATCTTGATCGGATTAGGAAGTCAATTAGCTGAGAAAATGATACATCACAGCCAATCAAGATGGGAATGTAAGTTTGCGTGGATGATGGATTGGTCAAAATTGAAGAGGTTGACCGTGTTCTTGTAACGACACGAAACAGGGCTGACTCACCCACACGCGATCCTCGTCACCGCTCTTATGTTGATTGCTTGCGACGGTGAGGCGGAGCCGTAGCTTTCCAGCTGTCAAATCTCGGATCTTTGCCCTCTGTTCATGCTCACCTACGCCTTCCCTCCGTGAGCAACAAGCCGAGGCGGCGCCGTCCATGCGATGGGCGGGTTTCGTGCGTAAACGACGGGGAAAGAGCACGAGGATGGACGGTTCTGGAGTTCGCTGCACGGCACGCGGCTTCTTCCGTCATTGCGTTTCCATGGTGCGTCTCTATTGGTTTCTTGGAAGCTTCGTCCTCCGCTTCGGCGGAGATCTGAAGCCTTGTGCGACTGCTTCATGCCTGGTTCGCTCATAAAAATCCATTTTTTTCTTGGGAACTCCCGGAGAAGTGAGGAAATTGGGGAAAAGAAAGATCCTTTTTTTTTTTCCCTTGGGAAGAGTTGTGATCGGAGATAAACAAGAAATCCCTTTTTGGGTGCTAGGAAGCAGAATTGCCGTTGTTTGTGATGTTTTGTTGCTGTTGTTCTTGTAGCCCTAGCTTCAGGTAATTGCTGATTCCAGATACCGCGACTCTTGAGGTGGTTTGTGCATTGAAGAGAGATGGTGGGCAGCGTCGACGGAACCCGCGGTTCTTCCCATTCTAACGGACCTGTTAGCTGCTCTAATGGCGCGGAAGAGAGGTTGGATGAGCTCCGTCGGCTCCTGGGCAAATCAGAGGGTGACCTGCTCAAGATCGTCGGCGTCGGCGCCGGGGCGTGGGGCAGCGTCTTTGCTGCCCTCTTGCAGGATGCGTACGGCCAGTTCCGCGATAAGGTACAAATCAGAATATGGAGGCGTCCTGGGCGGCCCGTCGACCGCTCCACCGCAGAGCATCTCTTCGAGGTGATCAACTCGAGGGAGGATGTCTTGAGGCGGCTGATCAGGCGGTGCGCGTATCTGAAGTACGTCGAGGCGAGGCTCGGCGACCGCACGTTATACGCAGACGAGATCTTGAGGGATGGATTCTGCTTGAACATGATTGACACGCCGATTTGCCCGCTGAAGGTCGTGACCAATCTGCAGGAGGCAGTGTGGGACGCTGATATCGTGGTGAACGGCTTGCCATCAACGGAGACGAGGGAGGTGTTCGGGGAGATTAGCCGGTATTGGAAGGAGAGGATCGGTGCACCAATCATCATATCTCTGGCCAAGGGCATAGAGGCAGCTTTGGATCCGGTTCCGCGGATCATAACACCTACACAGATGATTAACCATGCAAGTAATGATTCTAACTTATCTATATGAGAGTCTCAAGTCATTACAGCTCATAATTATAACCATATCCACATGCTTGCTAGTTCATTGAATGTTCTCATGTTGTTGGTTGATCAATTTGAGGAGTTTCTTTTCCAGAAGAATGAGCATATTTGATCTTTTTATCTATTGTAAATACAATTTTCCTGTAGAAAGATAAACCACACATTACATGCTGGTCCAGCTATACAATTTGATTTCTGATCAGCCACATGCCACTTGATATGTTGAGAGGTTGAATGACTACCTTTAGAAATTTCATGTCATAATCTTGTGTTTGAAGATTATGATTTTCATTTCATATCTTTGTTATCCGGTCACACTGGTGCCTCCATCTATTTGTTTGAAAGGTTCTCTTTCACATGGATATGATTGGATTATGCCCCATTTTGTTATGAATGTTGATGCATCTCCACTCTTTCCTATTTTCCCCAGGCCATATATATATATTTTTCTCATTTATCAAATAAAAGCATCTGAACATCTTTAATTCAAAAAGTCTTCTGAATATATCTGGTTGATATTCCTTTTTTGGGTTTTTGTAAGTCTGATGTCTGTCTTGCAGCTGGAGTTCCTATTGAGAACATTCTCTATGTTGGTGGGCCAAACATTGCTTCAGAGATTTACAACAAGGAATATGCTAACGCTCGGATATGTGGAGCCGAAAAATGGAGGAAACCACTCGCAAAGTTTTTGAGGCAGCCTCATTTTATCGTATGGGATAATAGTGACCTTGTCACACATGAGGTTATGGGAGGGTTGAAGAACGTCTACGCTATTGGTGCTGGTAATGTCTTTGCTTGCACATAATTTGGAGATGAATATATACTAGGATTTTGAAGCTATATTATCTTATGTCTTTGACTTTTTTACTTTCTAGATTGATTGTAATATATCACTTTTTTATTAAGATGAAACATGATACACCTTAATATTCTGTGACAGACTTTCTTCGCAGAATATCGGATCATCAAAATCTTAGTTGAGGCTATCATAGGGACATCAGTTACTTGTCCATTTTAATTTAGTGTTGAAGTTATTCAAGAAGATTATGAGTCTAACAATAAAAATATGTACATTGCTACAATTTTTAGGAATGACCAGAAGATGAGGTCACAGTTGTCTGTCAGATTTTGATACCACCACACAATTTGTTGTATTTACTTGTCACAAAAAACATGCTGCAGTTATGTAATGACAAATTATTAAAGATGGAGAATTAGTACCATTAAGGGTGTGAAAATTCATGGCAGATCTCAAAATTAATCTCTTTTTGATGCAATCGGAATCTTATCATTTTTTAGACTAAAATTGCTTTTATCCACTTATGCTTAGCAAACCACATGATGGAACGAGTTACAATTCTGTGTTTGAAGTTTTCTTGGTTAGTATGCTCAATTATAATGAAAGATAAACATAATCCAGTGGACTTTCTATTTCACATGGGGATCTGAGTTCCTTTTTCTTTGGTCTTCTCTAATTTATTTAGCCGATAAATAATCTCAAGTAAATAACTTGGTCGATGCTTCTACTTTGAACTTCTAAAATGCTGTATTTTTGTGCTAGAAGATCTCATTGTGGTTAGCTATACAACTCTTGATCTAAATTCTTTCTTGACAACTTGTTTCTTCAGGGATGATAGCAGCTCTAACCAATGAAAGCGCTACTAGCAAATCGGTATATTTTGCGCATTGCACATCAGAGATGATATTCATCACTCACCTCTTGGCTGAAGACCCAGAGAAGTTAGCTGGACCACTGCTAGCTGACACATATGTGACCCTATTGAAAGGTCGCAATGCATGGTATGGTCAGATGTTGGCCAAGGGTGAGATTAGTCTGGACATGGGTGATAGTATCAAGGGAAAAGGGACAATTCAGGTTTGCCTCCTTGTCGTACTTCTGAACCCTCTTACATACAGCTTAGGGTTTAGATCTTGTTGGTTTGCACCGGACATGCTGCCTTCTGCTCAATGCTCTTAAATTCCTTTCAGGGCGTCTCTGCTGTGCATGCATTTTATGAACTCCTAAGTCAACCCAGCTTAAGCGTTTTGGATCCTGAAGAACAGAAGCACGTTGCACCAGTTGAGCTGTGCCCCATTATGAAAACGCTTCACAAGATATTGATCAAGAGGTTGATAATTATTTAGTTTTTGATGCTTGTTCGAGTTGATGCACGCCTATCTGTTTCAGTTGACAAGATTATTCTGTCATCCATTTCTGTTCAGTGTGACAACTAGCCGTTTCTTTGTTAAAATTGTCTCCTTGGATATGCAGGGAACTCCGGACAAACGCAATCCTTCAAGCACTGAGAGATGAAACAATGAACGATCCTCGTGATCGGATCGAGCTGGCACAAAGCCATGCTTTCTACAGACCGTCGCTTCTTGGTCATGACCATTGATGCAACATCGTATATCGACCGTTGTAATTGAGTGTCAGAATTCAGTGCACTGTAAAGCTTATTGTTCAGGCAGTGGATTTTGCATGAATTGCTTTGAATTACCAGTGGATTCTGAAGCAAATGTCAAATGTCCATTAAGCATGACAGGTTGAGTCGGGAGCTTGTGGGATGATAGTATCTAAGATAGAGCACACCTATTTGGTGAGACACTCGAATCCAATAGCCATCCCTTGGACATCTTCAAGTGGCATTTTGAGTATCATCAAACCTCATCAGCTTGATCAGATGAGCTTTCAGGAATCATTGTACCAATTGTGGCCAAAAGAAGAGATCATCATCACATAATTGTGCATTGAGCACGAGATGTTAAGAAAATGTGTGAGAAAGCATTATTGTTTTGAGATACATGTATTTTCATGTGTGTGGTCTCCAAATAGAAGGCTTTTCCATACAATTCTTGATTGTTAGGATGTGTGTTGATATTCAACTTGATTGTGTCGTTCAAAATAGGAGTAATCTTATTCTTGAACATCCAAAATAATTAATATAAAAATAATTTTTATTTTTATATTAATTATATGTATAAAGAAAAATTATATAAAAGGATAACTAATGCTAATTAATTATTTTTTTTTTTTACATTTGGTGATTATCTATCTATACAGAAAAATCATATTAAATGTAAAACGTATCATTTAAGACACAAAAAAAATGTCTACAAAATTCATAGAACCGATAATATAAAATATAGTCTCTCTTTTTATAGAGATAAAAGCATTGGATTCATAGCATAAGGTAACAGTGTAAAAGAATACTTCATTTTATACATGTCTTCGACGTACGTATAAAGAAGACACATATAAATGAATAGGACAAGGCAAAAGGCTGTGCAAACATAGTCGACGTCATGTACTGCGTTGCGCGGTGTGGGCCGTCGCCTCCGCTTCGTGCGCCACTCGGATTGCTGACAGCCTCACGGCCATCCCCAATTATTTTCCACATTGCTTGCGTCTCGTCGTCTGCTACGAGGACTTTTACGTGTCGGCGTGCCCCGGACTCGGGTCAGGTATTCTTGTGCGGTGCGGGAACATGTCCACCACCACTGCTGCCTCCGTTTCCTCCTCGTCCTCCTCGCCGAGGTACGCCGCAGTGAACCGCCTCTTCCCCTCGCTCCTGCCTTGATGTTTTGTGTGCTTTGATGTCTTCTCGAAATAAAGCTGAAATCTTTTCAGATTTTGAATTTTGAGACATCCGTAAGCAGGATAGTCCAATCCATTTCTTGATTTGGTTTTTCTTCTAATCTTTATGTATCTGTTTGAATTATAATCATGGAGAGAAGAGGAGATGAGGAGGAAAGTAGAGAAGATCTTGCTTTCTCTTCCTCTGTTCTGATGGAGAGGAGTCGTACGGAGAGAAAAAAAGTTGTCTTTTTTCTTTCTTTTGGTTTAGTTAAGAGGAGAGATGATGATGAGCTTTAGTAGGAGGTAAAAATGTTGGCCCTAATTGTTGTAGATTTTACACTTCTATTTTGACGTCACATAATCGTGAGCTCAAATAATCAGATTCTTTCGTTTTGCTTCTCTCCAAAACTTTCCCACTTTGGGAAGGAACAAAAAGTGCTCTTGGAGAGAATTGGATCTTCCCCTCTTCTTTCTGCTTCTTTTCGATTCCTTCCTACATGCCGTATCCAAAGCGCTCATCCTACAAGCCTGAGATTTCTGCTTGATATGGAAGTTGTTATCATAGTTTGTTTGATTATCTAACTTCTGTTCCTAGAAAGATTAAAAAGAGTCACTGTAACCTGAGATCTCAACTAGAAGAGGCTTCAGGGAATAAGATGTTCCCATGGTAAGCATTGTTGATCTGGTTAAAGTATCAACGCAAGTAATGGCAAGATTTGCATTACATACAAGACCAAGGTGAGGCTATGAGTTATAACCCTGCTTTGACACAACATAAGATGATTTTATGTCAAAGATGACAAAGAACCAAAAGAGAAATTCTCCCATCCATCTACCATGTTCTTGCAAGATATGATGATGCTTTCTTTGCTTGCGATCCTCCATTTATCCAGCAATAGGTTCAAAGAAAGATTTTTCTGATCATTTGGTTATAAATTATGAGATGATCAAACTTGATGTTTATCTATGAAGAAATCAGGATTCTAAAGGTCAAGATCAGAATCAAGATTGGATGGCAACAATGAGGACTGGATCAGCCAGATATGATGATCCATATCATGGACTTGGAGTTTGTAATCCTTTTTGTTGGAAATTATGAAAAGATCATGTTTGATGTTTATCGTAGGAGGTTTTACTAGGAATAGGATCACAATCTACTAGATTATGAGATTTGGACAGCGGATTGGAAACAGTGAATTGTAAAACAAGTTATGAAATAGATAATCTAAGGGGAAGATTACAACATTTCAGGAAAAAAAACATTACTAGCATCCCAAAAACTATTTGTTGAAGAGCATGGCTTGTAAACAAGTTATGAAATAGATAATCTAAGGGGAAGATTACAACATTTCAGGAAAAAAAACATTACTAGCATCACGAAAACTATTTGTTGAAGAGCATGGCCTGTTCATGGTTTTAGTTCTTGCTTATATCTATCTAAATTTGTTAGTAACTGTAGCTTGGAGTTCTACTATCTATGAGGGCCAGGATGAAGCAAGCAGTCTTTCATGTCTAATGAGGGATCCATTTTATACTATGAATTTTTTATGTCAGATGAGTCACAAAATTTTATAAGTGGAATGCATCCAACTTAATCTATACAATATTGTTAGTGGTTAATTTTGTAACTTATTATCTTAGATCGTAGGCCGTCACCTTAGTCCATGTCACAATGGTGTCCAATTTAAAGTGGGAAGGCACTTTTTTAGAATTTGCAGAAAATCTTAATTGCCAAATATTTCCTAGTTTGCAGTGACATGGCGTGCCAAGTCCATTGCTTGTTTTCTAGATTTACTCATGGGTGTTCAGAACAGCTTTTAATGTAGTTTTGTAAATATCATGTGGACTAGTTTTTGATATCCAATGAAAAAATTGTATTATCATTCGGTGCTTGGAATCTCCTCTGTTTTCGTATTGAAAAATCACTAGTAAACTCTTTGCATTTTCTGATTGTTGAGGATTCAATCCCAAGACAATCTGGTACAAAATCCCTTTCATTATAACAGTCAATTATTTGTTTTATTTGGGGAAGTTTCTCAAACACTTGCATTTGCTTTATCGGTATTGTGATTCACAATCTGGTGGAAACCCTCTTTGTTGAGTCAAGAAACTAGACAAAAAGATTTAACCATTTTAGACAATGAATTCAAGAACGTAATAAAATGGCATCACTGAACAAGGAGGACAGCTTGTAACAATCAGTTGCTGTACATACTATCAGAAAATAGCATTAAAATAAGTGTATCTTGCAAAAGCTTGATCCTAGATTATGAACTTGTTCTCTCAAAACAGAAGAAGATATATTTGCTATGTTTACCCACATGATTAAACACTTCTTTGCATTCCTTTCCCAAATTCTGTGATCATTTATGAAATATCACCAGTCTGTATCTTGAAAGAACTCCATGACGTGATAAGTCAGTTTGTCTATAAATTTATTTTCCAATAAATTTAACTGGTTAAAAACTCCATTATCAAATTAATGAGAAACTCAAAATTTTCTTCATTGATCTTTCTTGTATAACCAAAGAAGTACCTTTAACTTGAATTTATTGTATTAAACAGGATCGATGAGCTTTTTGACCATCTCATTTTCATTTATCTGTTATGATTCATGATTATGTATAAATTTGCTTTGTGTTGTATATGAGGTCAGGAAGCTTTCACAGTGCCGATAAATTGGATCAAACCAAGCTCCTATTAGGGTCACTTTTGCTTAACCTCATCTGTTCATCGCGTATGTTGCTCTGTGTCTGTGTCCACCACATTAATTTGCTGATCTTTTCGAGTAAAGGCTGGAAGGAAAGGTGGCTCTCGTGACCGGCGGGGCATCTGGTATTGGGGAAGCCATTGCCAAGCTCTTCAGAAAACATGGTGCAAAGATATGTGTGGTCGATGTGCAAGATGCTGTCGGCCAGCAACTATGCGAGTTCTTGGGTGGTGATCCATATGCCTGCTTCTTCCACTGTGATGTCACCGTCGAAGATGATGTTCGCCGAGCTGTCGACTTCGCTGCCGAGAGATATGGCACCATCGACATCATGGTTAATAATGCTGGGATTACCGGCGAAAAGGTGGTGGACATCCGAAACGTCAATTTCGATGAATTCAAGAGGGTCTTCGACATCAACGTGAATGGCGTCTTCCTCGGGATGAAGCACGCGGCACGAGTCATGATTCCTCAAGGGAAGGGCTCCATCATCTCCCTCGGCAGTGTGGCATCGGTCAACGGAGGAATGGGTCCGCACGGGTACACCGGTTCCAAACATGCAGTGGTAGGTCTTACCAAGAATGTGGCTGGAGAGCTGGGGAAGCACGGGATCCGAGTGAATTGTGTGTCTCCATATGCAGTTCCGACGAAACTGTCGATGCCGCATTTGCCGGAGTCCGAGAGGCAAGAAGAAGATGCAGTGGAGGGGTTTCTGACGTTTGTGCGCAGTTGTGCCAACTTGAAAGGCGTCGACCTGCTACGGAATGATGTGGCGGAGGCCGTGCTCTACTTGGCGAGCGACGAGGCCAAGTATGTGAGTGGGCTCAACCTGGTGGTGGATGGGGGATTCACTTGTGTTACCCACATTCTTAAACCATTCGAGTGAGATAACTTAAGTGCCGCAACCTGAACTTGCCATCTGATGTAAATAAACGACTTCCCGAGTGTGGAAGAACAACAGAGTGTGATTTCTAACTTAGATTTGCAAGACATGTTTGCCCGTTGTATTTTCTCTGATGTAAATAAACGACTTCCCGAGTGTGGAAGAACAACAGAGTGTGATTTCTAACTTAGATTTGCAAGACATGTTTGCCCGTTGTATTTTCTGTCGGAAAACTTTCTCATGTGCATATCTAGTGGTTTCAAGCAGTGGTTGCTTTTTCTTTTTCTTTCTCTTTTCTTATCTTTTCTTCTAACTCCCATTCTTTGAATTGTCTTGTGATGTTAAAAGCATGCCATTGCAAGATTCTAAATGCCAATTCCAACAAATTACTCGAATTACCGGCGGAATGATCTAATCGTGCATAACAATCTTCATGTTTAAAGTTGAAAGGATCAAATCTCGGATCATTGCCGAATCGATATTTTTGATATCTAAATAAATAAATAAATATACTAAAATATAAAATATATGAATGTTATTATGAAAATAATCTTATAAGACAGTAAAAAATATATATAATACCAAAATAAACATAATGAAGAGATGAGATGGTAAAAAATACAATAGAATCTTCCTTTCCCTCGTCGTTATAAAAAAAAAAAAAAGATTAATACATTAAGAATTTAAATATGTTACAAAATTAAGAACATTCAAATCCTTTTATAATATTAGATTTGAAAGCAGATCCAAAAAAGAAAATTAGACAACCACATAATAACTACTTTAGAACAAGAAATCTATCAAAGGATTTTGAGGGTACTTCGATCCTTCCGGTGGAAAGTTCGGTTCGCGGTTTTCCGGTTCGATAACTGTACTTCAAATACTGGCATGGTAGAACTCACCATGAATTCAAAAGAGACATGCACTAGCAAGGAGTGTTTCTAATATATAGGCATCCGAGACAACCCAGAACAAGTAGCATATGAACTAGACATAAACGGTGATCAAGCAATCGTATCACATAAGGAGTCTGCACCTTGTTATGGATCATCCTTCACTTGTTCTCTTCAAGCTTATGCCACGCTATGCAATCATGTTCTACTTTCATATCATAGCCATTAAAGTTGCCCTACACTAATTCGCGATGCAATCTACTCGGTCGCATCAAATATCAAAAATTAACAAAGTTCTTCTCTTTCAAGCTCTCGATAGTTTCCTTGATGCTTGTTTCCAGAGGAATGTAGTCGAGGCCCAGACTCTTGTATTTTTCTTTGGAGATTTGGTATACAGGCACAAAGGGCTTGTCATCAGCGCACCTGCCAATAAGGTCAACTTAGAGATTGTAGGGGAAATTGCACACAAATTAAAAAAAATCTTTTGCAGAATTATTCCGTAAGCAATTAGTGACGTGTAAACAAGCAAGTCCAGACCAACAAGATGTGCATGTCAAGAAGAACAAAATCAAACATGGAGGGAAGGGCCATCACAAAATCAAAAAGATATGCCAGTGATACAGAATTTCATGTTCAACTTGCTTGGCACAGTACCAGATATCAACCATGAGATGAAGGTAGTGATTTTTCTCTTTGATCAAGAAAAAAAGGTAAGAACTACAAATTTCTTACACTATTAACTGAAGAACTTGAAAATGCTACACCTCAAGATCTGTTCATCTAGTGTCCTGCTGTTGTTGGGCCTTTCTAAAATTGGGGTCTTCTCCATGTTTGCTAAATCCATCATCAAACTGGACTCGATACCACTATGTTTTTAAGGAACTCTAGGAGATACGACCCTATGCTAAACTTAGAATTGCACAAATGAAGATGAAGAGACAGTGAAGACAGATAGACAATAAATAAAATAAATAAAGAAACATAGAAGTAATTGCATATCCATCGACCTAATCTCAAAAGTAGACAAACATACAGGGTCAAGTTACTGAGACCAAGAGGTGCACCAGGACAATTAATACAAAAACCTAAACGCTCTGAAAAGATTCCATACCTATGAGAAGCATGTAACTTGGAAGAATCTAGACATGATGAATATAATTCTATCATTAGTTCATGAGTCCTAGTCAACATGTGACAATTGAATCACATAAAAATAAGGACTGTAACTTACTTCTCAGGAAGTGGTAAAGCAGGATACAGTTCACGTATGATCTTCACAATGTCTGAAAAGTGAGAAACCCTTTCAGCAAGACAATATCTTCCTGATGCCGAGGGAAGTTCAAATGCCAAAATGTGTGCCTTGGCAACGTCTTGAACATTTACCCACCCAAAGGTTGCATTAAGAAATGTGGATGAACCTAATTACATCAAACAAGATAATTAAACTCATAGTTCTATAAAACACCATTTTCTAGAAAACAATAATTAAGATTAGAAAGAACTAAAATCATTCTAAAATGCATATCACAACCAAAACAGTTTGGCAATCGGAATAAAAGCATCAGGCACTTAAAATACAAGAATAAAATGTTTTGATGTCATATTTTTTGGTTGACTAGTGAAAACTGAAGTCCATATTAACATGTTTTTCCCATGCCTGACAAAGCCATCAGGTCAACCCAAAATTTCCTGCTTCATGTGTCATGAGTGTTTACAAGATTCAGCTTCTAGCATTGAGTTACCTTACTAAGCTTGTCTTACAAAAAAAATTGCAAAGATAAAAATTCATCACTAATCTATACATTCTTAGCAAGAAAAATATTTCATATCTATTCATTCATGAAAAAGCATAAATTGCTTGAACCTTAATAATGTTGACATGTAGCTAATATAATTTGGTATCAGAATATATATATATATATATATAATTTGGTATCATATGCAAATGATCTTTTAAAAGGTTAATAAATATGCATGAAGATCATAGTCACACAACTTAAGATTTTAACATGAAACTACCTGTTTAATTTATTTTCAAATCACATGAAGAATGCAATGAAATTATAATAATCACACAACTACTACATTTATGTTGCTTAGAATGAGAAGAGTAAGCCAGCAAACATACAGCAGTGGGAATGTTGAGATTTAAGATGACTTATTAATACAGTAAACTTAACAGTTAACATGGAATTCAGTACTCTTAACCAATTCATTAATGCAACTAAGGAGGAATAGACAGTTACAAAAACCAGCAATGGACTGAGAATTAAATCCTTGATGATGATAATCTTTGAATTAGAACAGATATTTTGCATATATATGCGTCTTAGAAGAATTTCACAGTATATGCACTGTCTAATTGATTAGGCCAAATAAGTATATTCCAGATGGATATATTGATCTGGCAGCTGGAGTGAGAAATTACAATAATGCTAATGGCCAAATGACAAATTTGGAAAGATGCTATTGGGCAAATTACACACAAAGACCTCAACATCTATCTCCCAGAGCATTGATGAGGATTCACCTCATAACCAGCCATTAGTTATTTTCCATTATATCATGTGCAACATAAAATTTGCCCAGATACTGACAAACTTCATTAAATAATGGCTCAAAAGAAAATAATATGTGAAACAAATCAAGCTTCATACCATTTATTAAGTTCAGGATTAAAGCAGAACTTGTGTTAAGTGTTGACTGCAGAAGAGGGCCTACGACCATTCCTGGGTTTATTGTGACAATATCTATAGCATTCTCCTTGGCAAATTTCCAAGCAGCCTCCTCTGCCAAAGTCTTCGAGAGCACGTACCATTGCTGATGTAATATGAGACATCTTAGAAAAACATATATAATAAAAAAATCAATAAAGACATCTATGAAGGAACCAAAACAATTAAAAGTCATAATGTCCCAACATTTTGGATTGGTTGCATGAATCTTTTCCCATCATCAAACAAATAATAATGACAATAAATATAATTGTAAATAAATTGACTAATAATAATGAAATGAGAACTACCAAATAAAAAAAATTAATATTGCTAATTATGATAATTCCAGTCAAAAATAATCATTACTGGAAAAAGTTGTATTCCGGGTTTCCTATTGTCACGTCATTAAACACACCATATTATACTAATCAAAGTTTTAGTACTAAATTCGAGGATGCATTAGACAGCATATGAAGAGTAATAAAAAATCTGTTTAACATAGTAAACCTTTGCACTGTGGCCCTGAGTAGCATCAGTGTTACAGCACCATGGTTCATTATATTTTGTTTCATTTTCTTTCCATCCATACCCTCTCAAGGTAACCCACAGCCATAACCCTGCTATTACAAAGCTGAAACAGTACTGCTTAACTGCTGGAACTGCAGCAATTTAGTACTGTGAGATGGTACTGCTGCAATAGTGGAACGGAATCGCCAGAACACTGCTATGCATAGAGTGTTTGAGGCATTCATGCATGCCATACAATCATCCAAAACACATGGATTGATGTGATTGTTGAGCTGTACATTGACTTTCAAGCTGATGCCAATCAATTAGATTGGCACTTGAATGACTAGCGCAGCTTCTCTGATTAAATTTTCACATATCAATCTCATATTGCCTATGGAAATAAAATCTCAGCCCTGGAGATATCAAACATTTTCCTAAGACCAGTTTGAGACTGCACCATAGTATTTTCAGCTTAGTCAGCACAGGCATGACGATTAGGCTTCAGTTACCAAATCTCAACTAGTACTGCCTCATAAACTTTTGCCAGCATGGTTTTCCATCATCCAGTTGACCGCATATTATACTTGGAAGGTCTGTACAACCCTCCGTCACAAACTATACATAATTACCGTGTAAAAATATTTGGTGTATTGCAAGGGCAAGATAGAAAGATTATTTGAACACAGGGAACTTTTGGTATCAAACTAGCATATTTGTGAAGGTCATTGGCATGAGATAACGTGTCTTCTTTTATAGCATAATGTAGAGAGCCCTGATGAAGATAATAGAGATTAAAATCTATATCATGGATGACAGTGAAAATGACAATACAACAGCTGTAAAGGATTATTAAGTGCATATTATCAGATACCTCATCCCGCTTGCAGACCTCAGGATCTGAGAACCATGTCTCATCAACTACCACATCAGGATTCTTTGGTTTATCATTGTATACAACAGCAGCCAACGATGATGTAACAACAACCCTTTTCACAGAAAATTTCTTACAGGAAGCCAAAACATTAAGTGTCCCTTTCACCGCTGGTTCAATTATGTCAGCCTGAGTTTAGAGTACATAAACCAAATCAAGAATCATGCATCAAATGGTCAGATATGATAAAAAACAGAAAAATGGAAACATAAAAGGCATCCAATGTCTTGTGGATATGCCTCGTCTAACAGCATATGTTCTCCAACTGTATTGTATTATGTATTTGTCGATTTGAGTATTGGGTAGTTAAAAAATATATATAATTTTAGTTTGTGTTGTTCATATGAGAATATTGAGATGGCTATATGGAGTTATTAGAAAAGATATGAAAAAAACTTTTTTTTTTGTGAACAATTAGACATCATTTCAATAGAGGATAATATGAAAATGAATCATTTAAGATGGTATAAACATATGCTAAGCAAACCTACAGATATGATAGTTACAAGGGATAAAATAATTACTATTAATGATACAATGAGAGATAGAGGAATACCTAAAAAGGTCTTCTTGAAACAATAAATAAAGTTTTAAATATTGAATACTCCTAACTCATATGACTATTTACATATCTTAATGGCCACAAAAGATTTATGTAATCAACTCCACATATCTTAAAGGGACTTCACGGTTTTATTATTGTTGTATAGAGAATCAACGAATATTCATTTTGGTGAATGACTTATGGTCTTATGGACTTGTAGTTACTAGTACCAGACATTCTAATGGGAACTTAACATATTAGTAGTATGAAAACATTCTTTCCTAAATCCTCTTATGAGTTCAAAGGGCAAAAAAAATAGTATTGAGAAATTACATTTTACATAGAGATAATTACCATCCACACAATTTACATAGAAGCAATTTAGAACATTTCAATAAAATGGATTGTGAAGGGCCACATAGTGACTCTCATGCTTTATGTCATTACGGCGTCAACTACCGGATGTTGTATTAGCATTTCACCTAGACAGTAGCCATTAAGCATACTTAAAAGAGGGACAAAAAATAAAAGGGGTCTTCTAAAACCTTTGGAACTTCCATAAAATGCAGGATTTTGCATTCAAAAGATAAAATGAATGGACGTGATTAGATATTTGTAAGGAATAGACTCTTAAATTAAATAAACTTATCAAAAATTAATACAAATGGTAACACATAGACATTAGCTTAGTCAGTAGAGATCATAAACGTAAACCTGAGGATCTGCAGCTGCAAAGTGAAAAGGAGATGCAGTGTGGAAAACACCATCACAACCGTTAACCACAGCATCAAAGGATCCCTCATCTAATAAGTTGGCTTTAAAAAAAAGCAGTCTCTCAGAGGCTCCTTCCAGAGCACGCAAGTGTTCAGTCTTCTTTGGATCAGCTGATAAGAATGATGAAAAACATTAATAAGAAAAAATACAAACACAATCTTATATCAACATGCAATTCATATATTAAGAGTTTTAGCTGCACTGCATTAAGACTAAGAGAAGATCAAATTGCAATCAAACAAATCTAATTATTTTCCTGCTGACAACATCTGTTTAAAAAATATGCTTTAAAGAAATGCAAAGGAAAATAAAGTAACAGTTGAACTATGAAGTAAAGAAGTAGCGAGGCAATTTTAGGTGCATCAACACATTGAACAAGAAACTAATCCATGGTCATTATTCTCATCCATGCAAATGTATCAGCTGAAAGAAATGATAAACATGGTCTCTAAAGCCCAATCGGCATATTCAGAATTGCAATATTTTTCTATCATAATGATCAGCTGAATGATAATTGGCCACAATCATCAGCATGGTTTCCTAAACTTGCCAATATCAACATACTTTCAAACAAAAAAACAATTTGAGTATGCCCCAAAAGGAGTTTCATATTTGCATAAATCCCATGTCAAAGTCTTACTATGCAACCCTTTGTAACAATTTTGCATGCCTTTTTAGTGCATCATTGCAAGTAGAAACTCACAAGGTTGACATATGCTCCCAGCAAGGGTATTTTCCCAGCAAATACAACAACTTCACAAGTTTGCATGCAATTCTAGGTTTATAATTATAGTGTGTCTATGTGCAAACAAGCACATAGAGAAATACCCTTGAGAGATTTAATGACCAACTTGATTTTCAGTGTTAATTTAAATGTTATGATCAATGTTCTAAAAGTGTAGTTCTACTAGTGCAGTTGACTTGAGGTGTTGTAAATCGCTATGTATTACACAAACACATCTGTGGGGTACATTAAAATATAAAAACATATTGTTAGTGCAAAAATTACAAATATACAAAATTAAGCTTAGATAATAAATGGGCATATATTTGTTACATCCAAACCTATATCGTATCGAATAAGATTTGTGCCCATCCAAAAAGCTAATTGAAATGGGTACTGAGGTCAGCTAGTCCTTGTCTGGTACTGCTATATATGTATATGCAGATGCAGATCATAGGGTCTCATAGGAGACCACATAGAACACTTTTTGAAACATATCCAACTTTACCCAAATAGGATGTCGGATATGTTACCACAATTGAATCAAATGATTCATAATGGTAATACAGGGCAAAAACCATAATCACATAACATATCACAAAAATTGATACAACATGCTCCATCATGATTTTGTTGCAACCTCCACATTCCAGCTCTCCCACTTTATTCGAATGTACCCAAATCTCACACATAAATTGAATCTTTTTTCATTATTTAACATAATCTTCAAAGTTCCTCGTCCTAGTTTATTTGAGTCCTTGTTCTCTTTTTGTGATTCAATTCAACTCTTCTTGGCCATGTCGAGCATGATCAAGCTTGACCCCTTCAGTTTACATAACATTTTAGTTGGTCAACTAGTTGATTACGCCTTATCAATTGGCTCATGGATGACTATGTTGCAACCTATACTGTTGTCAGTTGAGGATTCAACAATCAATCATCTCAAGGATATGTTGAGGATATTAAATCCAACGATCTCAAGAGGACTTTATGGGGCCGGCCAACAAATACACGAGCTGATCACAAGCACATAACTTCCCCATCGCTTCACAGTTCGCACTGACGCAGTCGCCATGTGCATTTTTGCTGGATCTGAAAACATGGTGAACGAAAACGGTGTCCGATGAGATGGATCTCACCAGCGTCTCGGACGGAGGCGCGGACGGTGTAGCCGCGCTGGAGGAGGAGCTTCACCAGCCACGAGGCGATGTAGCCTGACGCGCCCGTCACGCACACCACCTTCCCGCTGCCGCTGCCGCTGCCGTCGGTCATCGTGACTCCCGCGTGGCTCTTTGCTCGATCGGTGGCTCTTCTGAATGGGAGGGGCGGTGAGCGATTGGAGTGGATAATCGAGGTCGGCGTAGCATAGAATTGGGTGGCGCGGCGGAACATTTTACCCGACGGCAACCTCACCGCTGCAATCATTGCCAAACGCTGTTCAAAAGTACGTAAGAAGTCTTTTTATTTATTTTTAATATTCACAATAAAAATGTCTTAAATCATCAAAATGTCTCCATAAATAAATAAATAAATATTATAGACTATTTTATCCAAAAAAACAAAAACATTTTATGAGCTTAAAGTTTCATAAAATTTTACTTAAAAACCATCACATTTAAAAATAAAAATACATAATACTTACACGCAGATTCAAACATAAAACTTATATACAATAAATAATATACTAAATAACTCTAATTTTTATAATACAAAAGGAAATACTAAATCAGTTCACTGAATAATTAAAAATGTCAATTTAGATTTAAATAAAATATTTAAATAATTAAAAATAATAATAATATGATAAAGTATTTATATAGTGAAAGTTTGGGATCAATTTGATATACTTTATTTATAGTGTTATGATATTTTACCAAATTGAACTATAAAAAGTCCTTAAAATAAACAAAATTAGGAAAACCAACTGAGTAGTTATTTATATAATATTAAGGTCAGCTGAATAAACTTTACGGTTTTACACTTAGACTTGATTATTCAATCAAATGTAACAATATGTATGTAACATCATAAAATTTATCCATCTCATTTCAATAGTGATTCTATAGATTTTTCTATTTTAGGTCATTATAATAGGATTTTAAGCAAATTTTGATATGCTTTTATATTGATTTCACAAATCGAGTACAAGAAATTCATTTATATGTGTAACACCATAAAGTTTGTCCGCATCATATCAATCTTTTAATATAGTAAATAGATATAATAAAGACTGTGATTATTGTATATGATCTTTTAAGTCATTATGGCAGATTCTTACTCGATTAATCCCATAAATCACCTAATAATCCTTAATGCAACATCGAAATTACATATTTATATACAAATATATATATTCTTTTTATACATATTATTATTCTTATTTTGTTGATGAACACATAACTACACATAAAAAATAAAAGGTATCCTCGTAATATGTTTAGTGATGGTGAGGGGTTAATTATATAATCCTATTAGTATCATGATCCCTATACTTAAAAAAATTATATTAAGAATTTTATAATTTTAAAAATAAAATAAATAACCCTATTTGTCCTAACATCTTCATCGACTACATCAAATGTTAAATCAATATTAAAGTGATGGATAAAAAGATAATTTTAATATTATTTTTTAATTTTATTAAAAAAATAATACAGAAGAAATTTTAAAATTATCTTTTATCCATCATCTTCATGTTGATCTAGCACATGATATCATGTGTTATGTTTTCCATCAATGAAGCTAATGACTTTAAGATAAATAAAATTATTTATTTTACTTTTAAAAATATAAGGATTATAATATAAATATTTTAAATATAAGGATCATATTAATATGGCTAGAGAGTAATATATAATTAGCCCGACGATAAAAAAAAATTTTATTGAATTGATGATAATCTATATAATGACTCAAAAACAGAGATTTTATAAATTATCTTTCACACGGTTGATATGACAAATTAGTGTTATATTGGATTTACGATTTTTTGTTTTGAATCAATTGGAATAGTTTATTTGACAAAACAATTGGTTTTGTTTGGGATTTGAAAAAAACATCAAAGGATTGAGGTTTTTATACTTTTGTTATTTTAGAAAAGATAATCTCAGGTGAATATATTTTAAGAAAAATTGGCTAGAAATGAAATGTTTGAGGCAGACGAAATATATTTCATGTTGCATGATATATTATATAAAATAAAAAATAAGCATAGTTGTAACGTAAGCCCGTCTAGCTCAGTCGGTAGAGCGCAAGGCTCTTAACCTTGTGGTCGTGGGTTCGAGCCCCACGGTGGGCGTTAGAGTTTGATCCTTAATATAGTAAATAGATATAATAAAGACAGCGATTATTGCATATTATTTTTAAGTCATTATGGTAAATTCTTACTCGATTAATCCCATAAATCACCTAATAATCCTTAATGCAACATCGAAATTAAATATTTATACATAATTATATATATATATATATATATATTCATTTTATACATATTATAATTCTTATTTTGTTGATATATACATAATTACACATAAAAAAATAAAAAATATATTTAGTGATGGTAAGGGACTAATTACATAATCCTATTAGTATCATGATCTCTATATTTAAAAAATTTATATTAGAAATACTATAATTTTAAAAATAAAATAAATAATAATATTTATCTTCACATCATCGTCAGCTACATCAATGAAAAACAACACTAAGTGACCAACGTAAAAATAATAGATAAAAAGATAATTTTAATATTTTTTTAATTTTATCAAATAATAATAAATTTAATATCTCATGAAATAAAAAAGATATTAAAATTATCTTTTTATCCATCATCTTAATATCGTTCAGCATATAATATCATGTTATGTTTTCTGTTAACAAAGCTAATGACTTTGAAACAAATAAAATTATTTATTTCACTTTTGAAAATATACGGATCATAATATAAATATTTTAAATATAAGGATCATAATGTGTAATATTAATAGGTTCCTTGAGGATAATACATAATTAGCTCGACAATAAAAAAAAATTATTGAATTGATGATACTATATATAATGATGTGAAATACAAATATTTTATGAATTAGCTTTCAAACGAGTCTTAAGTTGACATGATAAATTAGTGTTCTATTAGATTTATGATTTTTATTTTGAATCAATTGGAATAATTTATTTGACAAAACAATTGGTTTTGTTCGGGATTTGAAACAAACATCAAAGGATTGAGGTTTTTATACTTTTGTTATTTTAGATGAGATAATCTCAGGTGAATATATTTTAAGAAAAAATGGCCAGAAATGAATATATAATATATAAAAGAAAAAATAAGTAGAGCTATAACATAAGCCCGTCTAGCTCAGTTGGTAGAGCGCAAGGCTCTTAACCTTGTGGTCGTGGGTTCGAGCCCCACGGTGGGCGTTTAAGTTCTCTTAATTTAATTTTTTGTTGGAATTAATTAATACATAAATCCGACGGCAGAGATAACGTTATTGATTAGTCCTTCAACCGGGTAACAAATCCAACGGCAGAGGGCGAGACCCGCAGCATACTTCGTGTATTTTCCTGTGTCATACCCGGAATACGACACGATCTGGTCGGTAGGGCTGCTCCCGGCTCCAGAGGAGGCGATAGAGAAGGAAAAGCCGACGAGAGAGGGGCGAGAGAGAGAGAGAGAGAGAGAAGTGACGGGAAGGGAAGGAAGGCGACCACGCTTCCTTTTCCGATTTCTTTCTTCTCTGTTTTTGATCTAATCTTAGGAAGAAGAAGCATCGTTGACGCTTTTGATCCATCGTTCGCTCCCTCCCTCCGTTTGTTGATCCTAGAATCGGAACGAGAGGAGTGCTTTCGATGGCGCCGGGGCAGGGAACGCAGCAGCAGTTCCGGTATACGCAGACGCCATCGAAGGTGCTGCACGTCCGGAACCTGCCGTGGGACAGCGCCGAGGAGGAGCTCGTCGCCCTGTGCAGGCCATTCGGCAAGATCGTCAACACCATGTGCAACGTCGGCGCCAACAAGAACCAGGCCTTTGTAGAATTCGTCCGTACCGGCTCTCTCTGATTTCGTGATGTCTTGCTGTTCGTAACATTGTTGGTGCTGTAAATACGCATTATATTCTCATCATTTCCTTCCAGTAAAATCTAGCGATTGCCGTGAATCTGTAATTATATACTCTTTAATTTGACTAAAATTAGTTTGTGTTCCATGATACTTGGACCTACATAGTGCTCATGCGATCCACCAAATTTGGACCTACAGGGTCATCTGGATTTTGGGCTTATTCTTGAACTTCCATACGGATCGAAGTTACCAAAATGACAAATGCTGCCTGAAACGAACCCTACTTTTCCAGGACTTGATATCTCATGGATTAGCAACCCTTCTGACTTGATATTCCCCTGGACAGGACTCAACTGTTTCTTATCTTCTTGATATACTAGATCCAAAATTCTGGGTATCAGAATGTAATTTAACACAATTAGGATTTTAGCTTTACAATCTCTAGGTCAGTTAATACATGTGTTTACTCCCTTCTGATGTAGTATGCTTGTGAATGAACTATTTAATTATTTTACTCATTTGTGAGGCCTTGCATCAGAAGAGTTATAGTTGCTACCTCTTTTGTATTAATTTTTAATTATTTTTTCAATATAAATTTTAGTGCATTAATCTTGAAAATTGGTTTTTTCTTTCTAGGCTGATCTTAACCAAGCAATTTCAATGGTGTCATACTATGCTTCTTCATCCGAGCCTGCCCAAGTTCGTGGAAAAACTGTCTATATCCAGTATTCTAATAGGCAAGAAATTACGAATAACAAGAGTACTGGAGATGTTCCTGGGAATGTCTTGCTGGTCACTATTGAAGGTGTTGAATCTGGGGATGTCAGCATTGATGTGATTCATTTGGTAAGTTCTGTTGGTTGGGTTCCCTTTGTTGTATATGATACGATCACCTTATTATATAGTGCAATTTTAGTTCTGTGAAGCATTTTGCAGGTTAGTGATGTGTGTGTGTGTGTGTGTGTGTGTGTGTGTGTGTGTATATATATATATATATATATATATATATATATATATATATATATATACTGCTCTTGCTCAATTCTTTTTGTTGTCTTCTAGCAGGTCGATGTTTACTTGCAGAAATTTTGTAAATGACCTATTGCATTAGGAGAATGGAGGCATTTGTTTTCCCTTCTTTATTATGAGTTATGACACCGCCATTTTGACATTTAAAACCTAGCCTTATATCCTTATAGAGTGATAATTTTTCAAAAGACTTGAGATTTTCAATTGGACTTCTTGACATAAACAAGATTCATGAAATCTGGCCGTGTGTTGGTCTTCTATTATTTTCCAACTTATATATGGTTGATACTTTTTACTTGACCTGCTGGACTTTGAAGCTCTTCTATTCTTTAAAATGACTTGTCCAATTTTTCCATCTAATAATTTGTTGAGCTATGTTTCATAGCTGAAGCAGTTCAATCAACCATAGAAGATCTCTGCTGGAAAGAGAATACTTATGTATTTCATTAATATTTTGGAGAGATTTTTCATTAATATTTTTTGGGGGCTAAGGTGTATCGAGAGTCTTGCTTATAAGCGCCTATAGATAATTCCCACACATGAACTGAGATTCAGTTATGGGTGTATATTTATGGTCTATGTTGATTAAGTTACTTGACTCTTTTAACATGAAAAAGCTTTTAACTTTGTCTTAGGTGTTCTCTGCTTTTGGGTTTGTGCATAAAATTGCAACATTTGAAAAATCTGCTGGCTTTCAGGTGAGACCACCTTTGACCCTTTTGCGGGATCTGCAGGCTGCAATTTACCTTCGTTACTTTGAAACATTTTACAGGCACTAATCCAGTACACAGATGCGGAGACTGCTGCAAGTGCAAGAAATGCATTGGACGGAAGAAGCATTCCTAGGTTGCACATATTTTCCATGTGTTTGGTTTTTCCTCTACATTGAATTCTTGGTGATTGACCTTGAAAATGGCAGGTACTTACTACTTGAACACATTACAACTTGCCATTTGCGGATCACATATTCGGCCCATACAGATTTAAGTATAAAGTTCCAGTCACATCGTAGCAGGTACAAATTGGTGCTAGAAGTACAGAGGCTGTTAATGTTTTTGGCAATTTTATTTTGACATTTGAATGTGTTAAATCTTCTTATTCTCAATGCTTTTCTCAATTTTTTGGTCCATAGTAGGGAAGTAACATGAAACAATGATGAACATTAACTATATTTGCAATATAATATACCATAGCTTCCCTCTTGGTTTTTAGTATTCAATTATAATGAACTCTAATACCTAGTACAAGCACCTGACATGAGTTTGATGGGTTCTTTAGGCATAATATTTCTTTGACCTTAGTGAAATTTCTGAAGCTATGCCTCTGTCAGTTCAGTCTACTCCCATAATCAGGCAGGAAGTTTGCAAACCAAGAGACAACTTACTCCATCATGATTCTGAAAAATGAGCAATCCTTCCATATATAAGTAGCTATCTTTAAGATAGTAAACTATATCTTCTGTTGAATTTCTTATTTTTATTATCTCTAGCACAGCACAGTATTTAAGCAGATTTTATAACAAAATGACTAGCAGTCTATTTATATGTAACTGTTAAATTTTGTTTCTTTTGTTATTCTCTTATGCTTCAGATTCAGTCAGAATTGGATCATATTATTTTTTTCAAATATTTTAATTCTGATTCAGTGGTGTACCACTTTAGTTGAGGTTTCTCACTCTCTCTCACTCATTACATTCCATTTTGCTATTGGTATGCTTTGCTATAATTTCAGTATATGTATCTCCAGTTTACATTACTGCGACATGGTGACATACTATAATATTAGACATGCTTTGCAGTAGCTTTTCTTTATATCAAATGTATGATTTACCTGATTTATTCTATATGCAAATATTGTTGCACATTTGTATATAACTTATAAACCATAATAATCTGTCTTTATGTTTTTGTTTAAACAGGGACTACACAAATCCCTTTCTTCCTGTGAACCCTTCAGCAATTGAGGGTTCTGTACAGGTATTTTTTATGTATTAAAATTTACTTCTGCCACATCAACTTTTTTTCCTTTTTAGATACACCTATGAGAAGCCCTTTACAGCCACTGCTTGGTCCTGATGGAGTGAAAAAGGAGACTGAAAGTAATGTCCTTTTGGCTTCCATAGAGAATATGCAATATGCTGTGACAGTTGATGTTCTACATACAGTAAGGCCTATTCTATTTACCTCTATGTTTTTTATTTAACATTTCAACTTTTAGCTAAGCATCAACATAAAGGCACATAACATTCTTTAAAAATAACAGGTCTTCTCCACCTTTGGAACTGTGCAGAAGATTGCAATTTTTGAGAAAAATGGTGGCATGCAAGCATTGATACAATATCCTGGTGTGGAAATTTTTGAATAGTGTTTTATGTATGTTATCTTCTAGTGATTGACTAATTGCATATAGTAACTTTAGCTCTGTTTTTCATTTGATTGGCTGTGCAAATGTATAGAAATTGTTTATAAATGATCTCTCTCTTTGAAAGTCGTAAGTGGAATTTGAGAAGGTTTTGTTGGTATCTTGTGCATGTGTTCATGTATGTACATTCATCTATGGTGGCTGAGGTTATAGATTTATACCTCAGTCAGATAGGTTACAATTATTTACAAATACATGTACATGTGTGTTTTGATGCAAACAACTGTACGCATGTGCATGTGTACACTAGTACATGCAGAGTTTGTTCTGTACCTCTGTTGATGCAGGAAACATGGGCGGTTAACTGTATGAAAGCCCCATGAAGGTTATCAACCCATCCTTTGCTGTACCTTGTGTTCACGAAGACATCCAAGGTGTCATGAGGTTCTGGCATGACGTCCTGGTGTCCCATCCAAGGTGTCATGTGGTGCTGGCATGACGTCCTGGTGTCCCATAGTGCCAACCCTAGGCTGAGGCCCTATGGATGGATAATTCCTTACACTGGGATGCCCTTATAGGTTAAGGTCTTTATTGATAGAGACAATTCTGATCATGTTCCCAGCCTTAGTATTAGTGTATTATAATGGGTTCATGTCAACTGTGAGGCCAATTAAGTTAGACTTTGAGATGGTTGCTCAGTTTAGAGTCGGTTTGGATCTACCTTTACAAACAGTCTTGACTTGATTTTTTCCCTTTTGGGTGGTCTGTTGTGCCGTCTTGGTTTCTCTATCTCGGTGTATCTTGATTTCTCTGATTTGAACCTTCTTTCTTCCACAAAAAGAATGTAGAGGAGGACATGTATTTCTTGTTAGGATGCCTGTATTTTGAGTTTGGTTTGAGATGAGGAATACATATATTTAAGGCATATTCTCATCTGAAGAATAAGGAGAATATTGGTGGCCTTTGGGACTTCTAGAACGACTAGGTTGCCAATCATTGCTAATATTAAAAGTGTGGTTTTGGGTAATCGTTGGCTGAGTGGGCTGCTTTTATATGTGTAGCTCATGCCAGGGAAGTCGCCAGGCCAGGATATTGACTCCTTTTCTTGGTTCAACTGGAATCTTACTCATTTATATTGCAATGAGGTTTATCTGGAGACAGATTTAAATATTATTATGCAAGTTAAAACCATTAGAAGTGGTATTAACCTGAGCAGTCAATTGCTGTTATGTGATCTGAGTGATCACCAGTGCATTGAATATTTTACAGGATGATTTTCATGGTTGAATCAACCACTTCTTTTTTTAATGTAAAGGATTTTGCTGGTTGAAATATAAAAAGTTTGCATTAATTGTTATTTATTTATTTATCATTATATTGTTCTTTTCTCCTATTTTAAAGTTAAATGGTTTTGCCATTAAGTCCTCAGTGTGCCAATTCTTTGTTCGTCAGATGTGACAACTGCTTCAATTGCCAAGGAAGCTTTGGAGGGACACTGCATTTATGATGGTGGTTATTGTAAGCTTCATTTGACATATTCTCGTCATACTGATCTCAGTGTTAAGGTATACAATTTTTTGGATTAAATGGAACAATATAACACTTAAGTTTATGGAACTCGCTTTCAGTGAAAGAATTTTCACGATCCATCAGGAAAGAAAATAAAATTGTGCCCCCTTCATGTCCTTGTTTTTTCTGTACTTGTATGCTTCCTAACGCTTCATTCCTTTGCTTGCAATGATGCTCTTATTTTGATTGATTGTATGTATATATGTTGTTATTTAGGTGCATAATGATAGAGGCAGAGACTACACTGTTCAGGACACTGGTGTACTAATGACGTCCCAAGCTCCTAGTTTGCCGACCACTACTGGTTGGCAAGTTCATCCTCAATCTACAACCACATATATTGGCAATGATTTCACAGCTACAGGACAAGTGACAGTTCCGCATGGCCAAGTGACGACATGGAATCCTAGCTTGTCAAGTGGAAGCTTTGCCTCAGCTTCTAACATGTTCCCCAGTCAGACATTTGCAACACCTGTTTCCCATTACCCAGTTTCAACCGTTTCCAGTGCTCCTTCTGGGCTGTTTCAAGCTTCACAGGAGTCATCTCAATATGGTCTTCTGGCAAATGCACAGCCTGCTGCTGCACCAACCACCCAGCCTCCATACTACACTACATAAGCTGCATCTTCTCATTTTTTTTAGGTCAGTTGCATCTAATAAAATTCCTGCATGAATTTATTTGCAAAGTGTGTCTTAAAGGTCTGTGTTCTGTTGCATCTTACTAGTTTAAGACTGCATGGTGTTCTTTCAAGCCTAGAACAAGTGTGCCTCAATTATTTTTATTGTTACAGTTTTGCAATTTTCTCTTCTTGAACGTTTTGCAGTATTTTTGTCATTAGCAACTGGGCATACGGATCAGGTTGGCTTGACAAATTTTTATTCTCATAGTTGCATTTATGTTGAAGGAATTTCCAGATATTTCTCCTTTCAAATGGGTTTCTGTATATTTTTCTTTCTTTCTACTTGCAAATGTGTTCGAGATAATGCTGACATTTCCACAGAAATCCTGCTAACTATTCCTCCTTAGATAATTGCCCTCTTTGTTCAATCTCTGGGACATATTACATCAGCACAGTGAACTCTGGAGCTACTTTATTCAGCTAATTATGTTTCATCATTATTCCTTTCAGTTTTTGTTGAAATAAACAATGGGATGTTATACTATATTTTCATCATTATTTCTTGCAGTCTTGATTGAATAAAAATGCGATGACATGCTATATTTTCATCATTATTCTTTCAGTTTTTGTTCAATAAACGACGGGAAATAATGTGCCTTGCAGGCCTCTGGACTCCACAAGTGAAGCTGCCTTGGACATTTTCAATATTCACTCTACCGTCCTGTGCTCTTTCTCAACTTCACCCTCACCTTTAAATGGACCTCTAAGATACAGAACTTTGGAGCTGTAGGAAAATTTCTTAGTAGGAGCCTTATTAGCTACTCAATCGTACAACAATTTGTTTCTTAGGTTGTTTTGCAGAGAAGGATCGAAGCTGCACTTGAACCAGAAGGTGTTTTGTTTCTTCTACCCTAATCATGTTCGAATGAATTGATGGATGTCATAAATATAGATAACATTCTGGATTTATCCCCAACTCGCATAGGTGGTCTCCTTTCGAAGATCTGATGTCGTTTTCATGACTTAATTGTGCAGCAGTAGCTTTGACATATCATCGAGTCTGGATTAGAGTCGACAAATTGGTGCGGCTTGCTCGTGATCTCGAAGCCTCATTCGTTTCCATTGTTGACACTAGAAGATGATACAGCCGAAGTCCGAAGAATCCAGCGGTAAACCAAGCTCATCTTTAACGCTTTAGGGAGAAACCTTTTATGTCGCATCTTCTCATGATTTCCTCACCTATATGCAGTGTTGCGTTCTGCAGTAGCAATGAAATGAAGTATAATTTCATTGATCACAGGAATGAATCCTTTACGCTGACCCCAACCAGTTTACATTTCCTCCCTCCTGTATGTCAAACTAAATGCACCAAGAACGACACCAACACACCTTGTGAAAGATGTCCTTGTTCGCATACATCATCACCATTGGTACTTGGCCGCAACGAGGACTTCCTCGTAATGCTTAGCAGCATTATCCCAGCTCAGATCCTGTGTCATCCCTCTCGTCCGAAGCCCCTCCCAACTCTTCTTGTGATTCCAGTAGGTGTTCAAGCAGTTGCCCAGTGCATGGACCAGCATCCCCGACTCCGCCCTCTCGAACGTCCACCCGTAGCCCGTCTCCTTGAAGGGGTCAAAGGGGACGACGGTATCCCGAAGCCCGCCCACGGCGTGCACCACCGGCACCGTCCCGTACTTCATGGCGTACAGCTGGTTCAGCCCGCACGGCTCGAACCTCGACGGCATGAGCAGGATGTCCGCGCCTGCAGTTATCCTGTGCGCCATCTTCACCGAGAACCCAACCCATCCCCTGACTTTGTCATGGTTCTCTCTCTCGAACTTCCTCAGCATCTCCTCCAGGTCCGGCCTTCCGGTGCCCAACATGACTAGCTGCACGTCCTGGGCAACCATCCACGGCATGGCCTCCGCGATGAGGTCCACGCCCTTCTGGTGATCCAGCCTCCCGATGAAGCCGATCACGGGGACATTTCGTCGAACAGGTAGGCCGAGCTCCTTCTGCAGTGCCGCCTTGCAATGGAGTTTCCCGGTTTTGACTGTTTCCGAGGAGTAGTTGGTGTAGCCGTCGGAGCTCAAGTGGACGTCCAGTTCGGGGTTCCAGTCCTTTATGTCGATGCCATTAACGATACCTCGGAACTTCCAGTCGCTGTCGTTTATGATCCCGTGAAGTCCCCAGCCACCTTGGGAAGTTTTGAGCTCCCATGCGTAGCCATGGCTGACGGTCACGACGCGGTCGGCGGTCTTCAGCCCAGCGGCGAAGATGTTGAAGTGGTCACCTCCAATCGGATCATACAATGTGAAGAGGTCCATGTACTTCTCCGGCAAGTCCAAATGGAAGAAATCCTCTACAGGACCGCGGCCCTGCATGAGACATCAGAATAAGAACGTGGACAAGAAGAACTATGCTACGGACTGAGTCCATATCTTGCTCATGTTCAATTCTTCTCTCTCTTCCTTGTTCACTTTCCTGCTTTCAGAATTTGTTCTTCTTGCTATTTTTTTGTTTGGCAGATGATCTAAAGAAATATAAAGGAATGACATCATCTTCATGTTGATTGGAATGACTTTTTTCTCTTCCTGATGGGAACTACGAATTTTTTGTTAGTTGCAGAATGAAGCAACTTGGAAAAAGAAATCAAAAGTTGACAATTTGGTAAGAAGTTTGCATGTTTGATTGCTCAAGAAAGAGCTTTTGAAGCTATCAAAAAAAGACACACAATGAGTTCACAAGAGAAGGGTGTAAATTGCTTCATGTGTGATGATAAAGTGCTATAGAACTTGAATAGTTCATAATAGACTATCTCCTTAAAAGAATATATATATATATATATATATATATATAATGTCAAAAAATGTGAAGCATGGAATTATGCCTGTAATTGGGTAAGCTAACTCCATGTGATGTGTCTCTAGATCATATGAACCATGGAAAGAGTAATTATCAAGAACAACAGATACATGTTGAAGAAAAAATGGAATTGCAGGATTATTATGTACAGGCAAAGAGAAGAGGATCTAGAAACACCAAAATCATGCTAAAAACCGAATCACAAAGATCGTAATCGAGGATTTACTGGAGACCTTGAGAATTTGATCCTTTTAAAGGGAACTCATAAGCAACTGTATAACCTTAATGGATTTCACAAAGAAGAAGCTTAAAGAGCCAACCTGGTGTGCTATGTTGTGGATCACCAGAACAGATCTGGCATACTTCATCAAGCCCTTGTCGCGATAATATGCCTTCAGATAAACAGGTAGAAGTGCTGTGTGCCAGTCATTTGCGATGAAAGCCAAGTTTCCATCTCCATAGCAGACACCACCGCAGGGAACGTGCCAAGGGACCTGAGATTGAGTCAGTAAAAACAATAAAATGTGATTCACAAGACCAACTACATGAAATCTCTGCCTTTTGTGAGATAAGAATAAGGTTGGTATATTCGCTGAAAGGTGAAGTTAACAGTGTCGCTAAACTTGTTTTCTAGATGCCAGTGACTATTTGGTTGTATGATCTTCGTGATTGAAGAGTATAACATGAATGAAATGAGAATTTAACCGGAAACCGACTTGGCTTATCAGAATTGGTAGAAACAATGACTTCAAATTCTACATATGAAATATGAGGAGCAATTATTTTTCACCTTTACAGGTATTACTAGTCGGCAATCAGAATTCAGGACATCATCATAAGAGTAATATAGAGATGCAAGATAAAAAAATTCTGGGTATTATTACCATAACAGAGACAAATCTAAAATATTTGGGTTCTTCTCGCTAAGTTTATACTTAATCAAACAACAGAAACATAGGCAAGTTGGTCAGAAGAACTCATCTGTAAGAATCATGGTGAACGGAGGTAGCAAGACAGCCTTGACGACTGTTGAATTTGTGCTTAGCTTTGTTAGAATTGTCTCTAGTTGTCTAACTCAACCATTCTTTTGCTTTTTAAATTTAGAGAAATCTTAGAATCTAAAGATGACATTGATGAAAAACTTTTTTTTTTTTTAACATAATAAAGGTTGTAACTTTACTAAAACTTCATTTATTAGTTTTGTTATGACACAATTGCAATAGGGAATTCACTGAAAACCTTCAGTGTCAACAGTCATGAACCTAAAAGATGGAAATAAGTTTCTTTGTTTTATATGCAATGGCAAATTCTTCACCAAATTTACAGAGAAATAAAATCTACTAAGAATCAGCAAGTATACACAAATTAAACATGTTTGAAAGTGAACTGCTTCATTAACCTTCATTGTGAGGCCAAAGCCTCTTGTAAAAGCTCCGAGGACACTATTAACGGGCACACACCAGTCTGAATGCTTTACAATGCCAATACCAAACCAAAAAAAATTTATTTGCAAAGATAGATATGGCATAAAAGGTTAAGCAGAAAAAGGGGTTGGAGATTGGCATTCACAACTATGTTATGAGCTCGAAATGCTAAGCTCAAAGCAGTAGTGAAATGACACCCAGATACAGTTGAACTCCCTATCGGAAACCCAGTTCCAAAGTCCCCTCATGCAATAATTTCAAATATTCTAACAGTACAAATGCTCTATAATTTTCTGATACTAAAGGATAACTGTTACATATAACATCATGGATGAAGATGTTAATAAGGACAAAAGAGATTACCTCTACGGCTGCCTTGCAGAACAAAATCATCCGTTTCAAGATGTCCTGCATCGATTACCAAAAAACAAGTTATCCACTGGAAACAAACAGCTGGTACATCTCATTCCTGTATTTTCAGTTCACTGAAAAGGCGATTAACTAATAGTAAATGAAATGGATGGACTCGTTTGCGAGGGTTGAGTTGTAGATCAAGTTTACCGGTCGGTTTCCCCCATAAATGTTATTCTCTTGGTGTTGGAAAACCGGATGATCGACAAATACAAAGTCCACACCATCAATGTAAGAATGAAAATAAGACACTTCCATATCCTGCACCCCAAAGTATGACAGCAATTGAATGAAACATGTCTACAGCTAAAATCTAGACATTGTGACATCACACATCAGCTTCATACCTGCCTATAAACTTTATAGCATCTGCGAACACCTGTATCTTTGGGTTCTGCATAATTGCCATACCTTGGGACAACAACCTAAAAATTGCAAATGATATGTTCAAATGGATATTCAATAGCAATACTAAGGAACTGATCTTTTGAGCACCATAAATCCAATTTAATATTGTGATCTGAACTTGCCATTCTAATTTATACATGTGAAATTGCTAGAGTCACCATAAGTAATAAAGATTTGAAGTACAAAAGAAAAGAAAAGAAGAAAACACGACAACAAATAAGGAAAAGAAGTACCATAACCCGATGCCCTCTTCTAGCCAAAGCTTTTGGCAGAGCCCCAGCCACATCTCCAAGCCCTCCTATTAAGGATAAAAAACATAAACATTAGTGCAGCTTAACGCAAGTTGACAATTAGTTATATTTCAAACATGACATTGAAATCACAAAATAAGGAGCATAGATCCTAAATATAATCTTGTTATACAAGAGAAAGGACTAAAACTATAGAAGATATGGATCGGCCATTAAAGGCATAAGTAAAATGCAATACCTGTTTTGGACCAAGGAGCACATTCTGCAGCTACCACTATCACATTCATGACATTCACCCCAGCTAAAGGAGGGTCATCCATATTCTCCTCCTCAGGATCTGTATCAGCTTCAGGATCTACACTATCAAACTTTGCTTCCGTTTGGTTCTCAGCATTCTCATCTTTGACACTCCTTTCAGGCTCTTTTACTAGAAATATTGGCTCAACAGGATTTGTAGTATCGAGATCGGTATCCTTCGCTAATCCAAGAGGATTGGGACTTAAACGTTCAGATTGTAGGCTATCATCACTTTCTCCTGTTTTCATTGGAGAATTTCTAGATTCAGACATCTTAGATTCAGTAGACGGGACTGAACCTTCAGAAACAGTGCAGACATTGTATTTTCCATTTGTCACAAGATGACTTGGACTTGGGTTGAAACTGATGTTTCTACGATCTTTCAAATAATAATTTATATCCTGATCTGCTTCAGCAGCTCTGCTTTCTAAATATGAAATTTGTTTCCTTCTTTCCACAATCTGAAGCAAAACGAGAAAGTCGAGCAAATGTGAGTAATCATATTAGCTTACATTCTGAGATGAGATGCATTAGTTAAGATCAACAAATGCATATTGGCTAAAGAGTATTCAGCCCTTAATCATGCTTCCAGTTCTAGAACAATTCAACCAATGGAAGTCAGCAGATAAGTGTCCTAACCTAAAATGAAAACTTAACTAAATTATTGTGGAAAACTATGCCTCTCTTTAGAAGGAAATAATCCATAAATCTGACCATAAACCAAATTGATGT